TAGATATAAATTTAAAAAAACGGTTTGCTTTGGTTTTGACATTTTGTCATATTTCAGCTCCTTTTTTTCATTAATGTAAATATTTAAGCATTTCTTTGCATACGGCACACCCTATACTTTGACGCCTGATTATGCCGCTATTTTGGTTTGTTATGATTTGCTTTTGCATTATACTGCTGCGCTGTCAAATTCACTTGATTGCGTTTATATTTTTAACATCGAAATATTTGTTATTTTTATTGTTGTTATTATTTGTATAATTTTTATTATGCACCACTGTTACATAGTTAGTGCAAATATGCATGTGTTGATGTGTTTGTTTGTATTAAAAATTGGAATTTATCTCCGCTGTGCACGAGTACCCGCACGGGAAGCAGAAATGTACATCCATACACATACGAGTATATGAGAGGAAGGGTAAACAACAAAGACCCTGTACTGCACTTTTAGTGCCAACTTTTGTTTGCTAACTTTTCTTGGGCGAAAATAAAGTGCATAAAATACAAAAATGTGCAAAGGAACAATGCTTTTATCACAGTTCCCTGTGGTAATCTGCTTGAGTAGCTGGCCATAATACTAGCGAATCTTTTGAAATTTTGATGTATCTATTGTGCTTTCAGTGCGTACTTTGGAGAATTTAGAACGGATGAATTTATGGAAATGGAAATGAAAAGTTGGATTTGAAGCGGAGTTCTCATTTTACTTATTTTATTTAATAAAAAATTGCATGTTACTAATAAGTTTAAGTAAAAAATTTTTTAAAAATTTAGTTTCTTTTTAAATTTCTTATATTTCATTGTGTATAAATTTTTTTTTAAATATTCAAAAAAAAATATAATAAATATAACCTTAAATAAAAAAATATTAAAGTAAAAGGAAATTAATACGTGAAAAATATAAAAAAGACGTAGAAAAGATAAAAAATACGAATTTAATATAAAAATAAAAAATTAAAAAAATGTAGAAAACATAAAAAATAATATAAAACCATGAAAATTATATTTTAAAACCATAACAAATAAATACATAAAAAACTTAAAAGCATAAAATATATAAAAAAATGTAAGGAGAAATTCAAATGTGAAAAAATTATGTAAAATAAAAAGTACGTAAATCAATTCAAAATTAATGAATTTTGTTTTTTATTTTTCTTTCATTTATCGGCTTATTGCATATTCATATATAATTTATTTCATTTTGCCGACTGGTTGTATATTCTTTGTACTTATTGCTTATTAATATACCGTTATATTAAATGGTTTTGCAAAAAGTAGCAATTTTCTCAAATATAGAAAAAATATAAAAAACTAAATTTTTAAAAAACATATTAATAAAAAAATTGGATAAGAAAATAAAAAGTTAAAAAGTTAACAGAAAATAAATTTAAAAATAAAAACACAAAAACCAATATTTACAAATTAAAACAAAATTAAAAATTAGTAACTAATAATAAAATAAAAAATAATAATTAAAAAAAAGTTAAATAAAAAAGCAAAATAAATAACAATTAAAAAAATATATAATTAAAATTAAGGAAAAAAATTATTCAAAATGTACATGTAATAATTTAGGAAAAATATTAATTGAAAAATAAGTATGTATAATACAAATTAACTAAAAATAAAAAATAATGTGAATTAATTCCAAAATTTAAGCATATATTTTAAATTTATTTTGGCTAAATTCATATTTACATACATACATACGTATGTTTATACGTTTTTATTATTATTTCTTTAATTTTATCACTAAATTTAATCCTCTTGGTACTTAACGTTTATTAATATGCTTTTTCATTGCTCTAATTCAATTACTTCGATTTACCTTATTCTTTTATCTATCTCACCCAAATCAAAATACTTTTTCTAATACCACTGGTCCACCCACGAACTCTGTCTGAGCACACAGCTTTAACAGCCGGCTGATCTGACTAAGCGCTACTTTATTCACCACTGTTCACCTCTCACCGCATTGACGTGCGTGCTGTGCTGTCTGCCTAAAAATACATGCGCATACATTTTTTTCTGTATGTCTGTGCTCAGCTGCTGACTGTCAGAATTTTATTTATTAATATACTGTATTAAAATTAGTTATTTTTGTTCTTGTCTTGTTTTTTTTTTTTTTACTTTTTTTGTTACTCTCTCATTGGCCCTCGAACTCTTTCAATTGCACCACTAACTGACACTTGCCGTTAGCTTGTTAAGTCGCTCTGGTTTCAGTTCGATTCTAAAGTCAAAACGGCGTGCGCGCTTATGTTCGATAAAAAAAAAGAAAAAATTATTATTTTTTGTGTCTCGCATTTTTTATTGTGCGTTATATATACATATATACTATTTCTTTTGTATATAAATTTTATAAATATAATTGAAGTATTTATATACTTTGCTTGCTTGTCAAATAGTCAACAGTCTGTGCAATTGTATAGGTACGTGGAAACAGCAACAACAAAAAAATTTATATAAAATTAATAAATAAATTAATTATATCTCATTTTATAAAGCTTATTTATTTATAATTTAAACAAGAAATAATTTCCTATTTACGTTTATAATAAAAATATTTCTATTGAGGTATTTAAATTTTTTAATAACTCTTAAACATTTTTTTTTTTTTTTTGAATCATATGAAAATACTTTTTTAGCTTCATTATATGGCTCTCCATTTTTTGAACCCGATTTGCTATAAAAATGAAATAAAAAACATAATTTAATAATGTTATTTATTTTAATTATAAACTTTTTTACTTTTTCTTTCTTAAAGAATTGTTTACTGCGTTGTTAGTTTATATATATTTTTAAATATTTATAAATTTAAAAAAATATATTAAAATGTTTTTATATTAATTTTTTAATTTTCTAAGCCCACTAATTGCAATATTTATTTGCTATTTTCTCTTAAATTTTTACTCTTAAATTTTTGTTTTTGCTTTTTTATTCATTTTTATTGTTTTTTTAATTTTTTTTAAACCATACTGCTTCAAAATAAAATAATCATAAATAATTTGTTAATTTTATTCTTAATTTTTTTTAATATCGACTTTGCCATTTTTTGTTGGGTTTATTTCTATTTATCTATTTTTACGTTGAAGTATTTTTTATTTTTTATATTTTCTTAAAAAAATTGTCTACTAATTTGATACAAAATAATAAAAAAATATTCAAATTTATTGACTTTAAATATATTAAAGTAAAAAAATTTATTTAAAAATCAATAAATTTAATTAGATACATTTTTTTTATTTATTTACGATTTTAATGAAAATATTTGGATTATTTTTTGTTTTATTTTTTTAATTTTCAAATTTTTATAAATCTATGTATTTTTATGAACGAAAGAAATTCATCTGAATATCTGTAATTAACTGAATTTTTTGTTTTTTCAACAATGTTTTTTTTGATCTTTTTATTTCAATATTTTTTGTTTAAAAATTTTTTGGTATTTTTTATAATTCTCTTAATAATATTTTTTATATATGTATGTTTATCTTACAGTTTTTTATATATTTCTTAAAATTTTAAATTTCTTCTCTCTCTCTAATTTCCTAAAACCCACACTACATCAAAATTATGCACATTAAAAACTTGAAAACAACAAAAATTGGGTCAATGTCTCTTCAACTGTTGTTGCTCGTGGTGCTGCGCGTCGACTTTTCACTGTTGCTACCGTTTTAAGCCGCACTTCCTATTGTTTGCTGATTTATTAATTGTTTATGTACATTTTTCACACCGCCGCCTACCGTGTCCATATATACATATGTACGTATATATGTATGTATGTATGTATTCGTAGGCTATCGCCTAACGCTTTTATGCGCGCATCTTCCGCTCACACGAAATGTAAATAATAGCAAAAAGGAAAATAAAAGAAAACTCATTTTGGTTGTTTTTGTTATTATCATTTTGCTGTTATAAGTAATTTTTTTTATGATTTTCTGCTTCATTTTCAAACAACTGTTTAAAATGCGCTCAGTTTTTCGAACACCATTGTTGTTTTGTATTGTATTTCCGTATAATATTACTATGATTACTTCTTCAGCAGACAGAGTTGCCTAGTTTTCTAACACTTTTTTGTTGCTTTTATCATCAATGCAATTGTTTATTATTGTTGTGTGTTGCAATTGTTTTTTTTTTTTTTGTAATGTGTATGTATGTACAACAGTTGATTGCAATTCTTTTTCCATTTTTATTATTATCTGTTATTTATTATTGCTTTTTGTTGTAGCTTTGTGCTTTCTTGTGCTCATTAAGTGATATTTTTTCCTTTGTGGTTAGTTTTTTTTTTAATTTTTTTTATTTATTCAAACACTATGATTTTTATTTCGATTTTTTATTCATATTTTTTTTTACTATATTTTTATTATTAAATTAATTTTATTTTTAATATTTTTTTCTAATTCACTGACCTTTTTTATTTTCTTGTTTTATTAATATATTTTTATTTATTATTTATTCATTGTGTTATTTATTATTTATGTACATTTTTTATTTTTTTTACTTAACTACAATATAATTTTTTTTCGCAAACCATAAAAAGCATATCACGCACTCTCCACACGCAATTATTCTCGCCGCTAAGTACGCCATTGTAACCTTTTGTGGCGACAGCAACAACAGCGACGATGCTCATCTTCAAAACAAACAGTAAATAATACTCGTTACTTTCTCGATTGAACCGAAACTGTCGATTGCGTGCAATAATTGTCATGAAAATGTTTGAAGTGTGTAGTAAATTCTATAGAAATGATATGAAGTGTGAATACAGAATTAATAAAAAAGAGATAAAAATTTAATAAAAAATAAAAATTTGTTTGTATATGAAAAGAATAAAGAAATAAATAAAAAAAAAATAAATAAAAATGTATTAGAAAGAAATTTATAAAAAGTAAGCAAGAAACATTCTCCACAGCTTTTATTAAAAAAAAATAGCCTTTACTTATTTTACTAACTGACTCATTTGTATTGAAATAATTTTTTGGCATTTTTATATTATTCTTTTTTCAGTTTATTTTCTCTAACTCAGTATCGTTGGGAACTGGGTTATAAAATCAAAGTGAGCGGTATGTGGCAAAAAAAATATTAATTTTACTACAATAGAGAAGAAAAATTCCCATGAGTTTCGAATTAAAAAAATATTTGACACCTTCTTTTACATAAACCATTACAACAAAACTAAGTTCTTTAAAAGACAACACTTAAAATACATAAAAAATATATCAAACTATAGTTCAACTACAACTTCATTACACAATTTTATTTTTCGTTTAAATATATTATTTTTTTACTGCTTACGAGCATAAAAATATATACGAACTTCCTTGCAACTCTGTTATTTCGAAAGAAACAAAAACGTAAACTCAAAAAAGAAAATATCAAATTATTATTTGACACATTTTTCCATCATTTTTTACATCAACAACAAGAAAAAAACAAAAATTTTAACTTTTTAAAATAAAACAAAAAATCTTAGTTGTTTTTCTCAGGCAAATTAACTTCTTTGTACTTTTATATATTATATAAAACTAACTTAATTGACAAGACAATTAAATTTGCAGTTATTTAAATCATTTGACTTTGCTTACGCCGAACATTGAAGAACTGAAATAATTTAATTACCAAACGCTTAGAAGCATGATTTATTTGAAAACTAGTTCAGGCGATTTATGGACGCTCAAGGTGACGAAGTCAGCACAACAAATTTCCAATAAAGGTAAAACGTACAATGTGAACAAAGCAACGAAAAAAAAATTGGTGTAAGTGGATAAGAATTTGCAAGCGCTCAACGAAAAGTAGTGAAAGAAATTATAAAAAGAAAAAAATTAAATGGAAGTGAATTTTCTGCATTTTTGCGTTTTAAATGCGGACATTTTTTATTACTTTTTCATATTTTTTTTAATTTTTTATGCATTTTCTAATTTTTCGATGTTATTTGTTTGTTGTGCTTATTTTTTCATTGTTGTTGTTGTTGTAACCGCAAAAATATTCCTCACAGTAATTTTGGGCAATCTTGAGGGAGTGACAGTCTTTGGCCGGATAAAAAATCCGGGCCGTCCGGGTATAAAGAGCCGACTGTCGCGGGAACTATTAGATTTTAGTCGCCTCTTACGACAGGCATGCCTTGCCGCAGTGAAACCTTTGAACCTCTAACCCGCAGATGTTAATTTTTATTATTTTTTGTGTTTTTATTAAGTTTTTGATCTTTTTTTTTTATATAATATTTTTTATTATTTGTTGTTTTTTATATTATATGTTCTATTATTTGTATTTTTTTATTTTTTTTATTTCGTTAATATTTTCTTTCTTAAATTTTTTGTATATATTTTTATTTGTTTTCTTTTAAATAATTATTTTCAATTAATTTTTTGTTCTTTTGTTAAATTTTTTAAGTTTTTTTGTATTTATTTATTGTTTTATATATTATTTTCATATGTTTAAGTTAATTTATTTTGATTTAAAATTTTTTTTGTTATTATTTTTTATTGTTTATATTTTTAGTATTTCTTTTTTAAATTTTTTATTTTTCCTTAACTTGTTATTTAATATTTTCTATTTATTTATTTATGATGTTGTATTTTATTTTCTTTTGTTTATTTTAATTTATTTTGTTTAATATAATATCTTATTTTATATATATATAATTTTTTTATGCATACATATTTTTTTTTATAAATTTTATATATTATATTATTTGGTTTATTTCTTCTTATTTCACTTTTGAATTTTTTTTTACTAATTTAACGTGTTGATTAATTAGCTACGCGCAACAACAAATTTCATGTCTGTGATTACAGTAAACACTCAGTTATGTATTGTTTTTGTTTGGACACACTTTCTTTTGCCTTAGCGGGGAAAGTCAGTAAGTAGTGATAAATTGGGAATAAATTACCATCGACCCTTAAGCCAACAGCTGTTACTTTGAAATGTATCAAAAATACACGTGTGGCAATTTCCGTTCCCACCCTAGTCGTTGTTGTTATTCAAATGACACAGATACCTGAAATTCTTGACTTAAATTCAAAATCAGAAATTTAATACTAAATCGCGCTGTGTGCTGATTAAGTGCATCATCGTTGAGCAATATACACATATTTACATACTATGTACCGTTATGCAGCATGCAACACTGTGAAGCGGCTGTGCAACGATTATGTTTACATGTTGAATATTTTTTTTTATATTTTTTACAGTTTTTTTTTTTGATAATTTTTCGTTATTTTGTTTTTATAATTTTTTATGTATTTTTCTTCTGAGCATCTCACACACATTTTTTGTGTATATATCAGTTATAATCGCCTTCACTGCAACAAATTTGGTTATGTGATGGTCAACAAAGCTGGCGTTTTAAAGCAGCTTAATTTGTTTTGTTGTAGCTTTTTTGTTATGTGGTATTTTTATGCGTCAGACAATGTCAACATGACACAATACATGCGCCTACGAGAAATAAAATCTTACTTCATTTTTTTTTTAATCTCGCAGAAATCAATAAGTTATTGCTTCAATTAGCTGTTAAGAAGCAATATTTTCTTTTTCAATTGTTGTTGTTTTTGCCTGAGATGTTGAGAAAAGTGAAAATGAAAATGAAAGTGAAAAGTATTTAAGCGCCTTTAATGCGCTTTTAACTATCTGCAGTTTCACATAAAATAAATCAATTCCGTCATATGTATAGTTTAGGTACATATGTACATATGTATTGTATGTACATCACTAAATATTGACATTTTAATTAATCTCGCTTGTGTTGTTTACGTCCTAATTGTGAACTCTAGTCTTGTTGTCTAGCCTTATTTATCTCTCCACTGAACGTCTGCTTATGTTATTATTAGAAGCAACCTTTACTGCTGTGAAGAGCAATTAAAGTGTCAAAGCAGTTTAATTGAAATAGATTTGCGTATGTGTGGGTACAAAGTATACAGGGTGAAACAAATAGAAGTCTGTACTCATTATAAATTACATACAGTTGGTTTATAATCAGGTTCACCCTGTATTGATGCTGTCACAATGTATACCATGTTATCATTTGCTTCTGAGCCACATCTTCGGTAAACATAATGAGATGTGGAAATTTGAAATTGCCTTTTTCAATTTTTGATAAGATTTTGTTATCTTGTTACGATGCTAATGACCCGGAACTGGTTTGCAAGACTTAGAATTTCACTGCTAAAGCCGTCTGCCCCGCAAACCGCAGACTTTGCTTTCCCACTTTGCTTTTGAGATTTTTAGTTTTTGCACTTCGGCACTAGATGCATATTACATATCTTCTATGCTACGCGTAATTCCTTATTTCTGCCAGTCAACTCATTTTAAGTAGTGCACATTCATAAATTTCCAAATTATCAGGAAATCAATGAAAATGCAATATTTTAAAACCAACGGCACATAAATCACGAGTAATTAAAATATAAACAAAGCCAACTGACAGCAGAACATACACGCCATGAGTGCAGAGTTGCACTTTCATATTATGTTAAGATTTAAGAAGTAAAAAGATTTAAAAGAAATATAATTACGCATATATGTATGCATTAAATGTTGAATAAAAAGGAATTTTCGCAAATACATATGTATGTATAAAAAATTGAACAAAAATTTTCAATAGCAGTCATTCTGTGAATAGAATTTCGGTGCAATGTTTTGCGGCATGACAGTGCATCTCAAACTGTTTTAGTGCGAAGCATTTATCATTCATAACAATAGGCAAGCATTTAGTAATAATTTTATTTATGAAAAATATTGCTTTGCCAGTATAAAAAAAAAACAACAACCGAGAAGCTTATGCAACAACGTCGCTATCGTTGCACCAAAAATATTTTATAATTATGATCGCGCGATTATAAATACATACATAGAAGAGATAAGACGGCAACAGTAGTTTTCTATTTAAATTTTAGATATACAATATATGTAAGTACATATGTATGTATGTATATATATATATACTGCACATCTAAGTGTGTGTATAATTAACAAGAAGAGTAATAAAAAGCAGCTCGTCGCTATCAAATTTTTTATCAATTTATTTTCTTATCACATTTCTAGTAATCAATTTTTGTGTAACACGTTAACACTTCAAATGCTAAATTTATTAATTTTCTTTTTTGGTTTACTATTTTCTATATTTTGCTATGAAATGTATTTTCCTTTTCGTTAATATTAAACAACGGTATTTTTTTGTTTGTATACGTCACAGGCGGAGTAGTATTAAATGAAAAATAAATAGTAATTCTTTAAAGTAAACATTGGCGAGAATGCGTAGTTCTTGATAAAATTTATTTTACTATGAGTGTTTTTTACGTAAATAATTCGATAAGCGTGTAAAAAAAGTGAGTGGCAATTTTATTTGATTTAATTTCGCTGGTTTTTTTTTAATTTTTGGTAAATAAAAGTATATTTTTGATCGATTTTCGATATCGATTTTACAATAAATTTAATTTTTCAATAGCCACATATGTTTTTTTGACTTTTGACTAAATAAAATCGATTTGTTCTTCGATTTGAAGAATTAGTGCATTTCGGCTTTCTTTTTGCTTAATTTTATTCATTCACTTATAAAAAAAAAAATCTTTACTGCTTTCAATCGCATCAATCACATTGGTCTGCTTTTTTTTTCTTAATAATTTTATCAACATTTGTCTTATCAGCAGTCGTTGATATACACGTACATGTATAAATATAGTTATATTTAGCGTATATTTTGTTATTTTTTTAATTTTATTGTCTTTTAATGCCTTATTTGGCCACATTAAATGTTAAATATAATATATATTTTATTTATGATTATTTTTGTTTATTTTAATGGCCTTGATAATCGCATGTGTAATACCATTGATTAAAAACCGTTTCATAATTTGTTTTTGCGCCCATGCTATATATTGATTGTTTCTTTTGATTTTTTATTGAATTTAATTTTTACGTTGTTATTTAAATGCACTGCAGCGTTTTCAGATTCCTAATTGGACTTTTCAATGTAAAGGTTTTCCTTTATTTTATTCATTTTTGTCATTCTTTTAAAACTTTCAAATTTTTATTAACAAAAAAGCTATTTTTACCGCAACATAATTTTTTTGCTAAATATAATGCTATTGTTTTTCAAAACCACCAAACAAAAAAATGTCAAAATTTAATGCTGCATAAAACGGAATGTTGCTTTTGCTTTACATATACATACATAGACACTTCACATTTCAGCAACAATTAAACTATGCTTTTGTATGTATATTAAACTTATAATAGCTACTCAATAATTTTAATAGCCAGCTGTAAATATAAACCTATGCTTGCCTGCCTGCCCGGCTTTTGTGACTCGCGTTTATTTAAATGTCAGCAACAAAATTACAATACAATTTTTTTTTCGATATTTTCATCGTTTTTAATTCATAACAATTGATGATGACACTGACCTGTCACACTACGCTGCACCGCGCATACCAACGTCACGCATATACATACATACGAGTATATTTTGTAATAAATGTACTAAAGTGGCTTTTTGAAAAGTTCATACACAATATGTACGTGTGTACATTTGCTCTGCATACAATATTTTTATATTTATTTATTTATTATAAATATGTACATAGTTGCATTCCCGCTCCACCTTTTACCAAGCAATAAATAGTACTTTGTATTATTGTATGTAGTAATTGTTATTAAGTATTTCTTATGGACTTGCAGAAAATATGTACTTATACATACATATATAATTGGCGCTTTTTAACCGCTAAAGCGATTTTCGGCCGAGCTCCTCCTCCAACTTGCGGTTTTGCGTCTTGATGTTTTTCCAACAAATGGAGGCACCTACAGTTTATACTAAGCCACCTCCGAACGGCAGATGGTTTTTTTATGAGGAACTTTATTTTATGTCAGAAATACACTCGGAGAGGTTGACATTGCTTGCCGAGGGGCGACCGCAATTAGAAAATTTAGCTTAATTTTTTATTTAAAATAATTTCCTATAACATTTGAATGTTGATCGCACGGAGATTTAAACCCGAGAGCCTTCCGAATGGCAGTACGCAAAACTATCCACTCGGCTACCGCGGTCGCCATATGTACTTACACACAGAAAAAACAGCTGTAATCATACTAAAGCATATGGTTGCATATAGGGTTGTTTTGCTGTCTGTCTATCTGTTTGCCACTTTTATTATTGATTTCAGCGTCACTGAAGTTAGCTTGTTAAAAGCTTGATTGTGTAGCAAGGAAAACATTTAGAGCAAGATGAAGATATATGAGCCAGCTTTCGGCGCGAGTTACTTTTATTTATTTAAATACATACGTGTATGTAAATTTTACATTGTGCGACTTTGTAAAGGAAGTCGATTTTTTTTTTAATTAGTAACAGTTTGCAAGTCGCCAGCTCTTAAACTGTTTTGACATTCAAATGTCCCTGTAGAGTCGCAATCGATCGATTTTCATTAAAACGCTATAAAATGTTTTCATTCACAATGAACACTCAGAGCTCCATTTAATGTTTAGTTTCTACAAATCATTTTTTTTTTTTTTGTTAAATTTACAACGTTTTCTTTTAAAAAAATCGCTATATTTATCTCTAAATTTGTCATTTGTGCTTGTTCTTCTTCCGTACTCCTTCTTGCGAATAAAAACTGAATTACTAAGAGTTTTCAGATTTTTTAAGTTCTCACGTTTTTGTTCTATAGCAAATTGGTTGCTATATGTTTTCCGTTTTTTGTGAAAACCTTCAAAATCCAGTAAAAATAAAAGGCTTTCCAATATTATTTGGGTAGATGTCAGCTTTGAAGCTGTAATTTTTTGACATTTAACAAGTAAAAACGACACAAGTAATAAGAATGGAACGATACATGCTTTAACAATGCTTTGAATATATTAAAATTCATTAGACACATTTCGAGAAAAAATCATTTTGACGGATGAGGCCTATTATAATAATAATAATATGCAAAACTGTCGCATCTGGGACTGGGCTAATCCAAGATTTATTGTTGAAACCCCTCTCCATACTCAAAGTGTAATTGTTTCGTGCGGTTTACGGTTCGACTTGGACTCGAAAATTAATGAATTGAGCTATCGAGAGATAATTTATAGATTCTTTATGGTCGGAATTGAATGATATTGATCAACAAGACGGTGCTACGTGCCACACAAGCAACGGAACCATCGATCTTTTAAGGGCAAAGTTTCTGTGAATATCAAAATAAAACCTCTTATTGGAAAATTCTATATTTATTAATTATTTGTAATTCAACAGATCCTTTAACTCTCTCATACACTCAACACACCTAACAAATGGTTGAGAATTTTACAAGGACAAGTTATGGCTTTCTTATTTCCCTTTGCCATATATGTACATATTTTCATACATCAGTTTGAGTCTACCGTGTATACATTCATAAGCATATTCCTTTTCTCTTTCCAACAGAAGTTGATGTTCATTTCTTGAACTGAATTTTTACTCACTTTCGCTTGCAAATTTCAAGTGTGTTCTTTAACACACACATGTCGCGCTCATTTCACATATTAAGCTATTTGACAAGTCATACATATATACATACTTGTAGTAACTTATATTTTTCAGCACAAAAAATCATCATTTGCCTTTGTTTGTACATACGAGTATGTATATACATATATTTTGATTACTTATTAATTTTATTTTCAATTAGATTTTGCCTTTTTGTTTTTATTTTTGCTTTATGCCTGTTTTCTTCGCTTGCTTGCCGCTTTTGAAAACCAGCTAAACAATGCAATAAATAATGCAAGGAATATTATATGAAAAAAAAAAAACAATAATAAGATCTAAAGAAATCGATAACAAGAATTATTCTGCTAATAAGCAAGAATGACACTTGGGAAGCATGTGTGCGCGCAAGATATACCAAATTTCTGTACAAAAACACATTTGTTTACTATTTAATTTGATGGCTTTATGTTTTAAATGCGCACAACAGATATTACGACACTTAATTAATTTTCAATTAATCAATTGAAATTGTTAGACCTACATACATTGTGCTTTTTGCTGCTTTACACAACGCCGGTGTTCGTAAAGTAACCACAGCGGCTTACTTTTCTGGAATTCTTTTTTTTTTGTGTTATCTGAAATGCAGAATCGCCATGCTTTTGCCGTTTTTATGCTTAAATTGCATGATTAAATGCTTAAAAAATAAATAGTCTGAAAAATATCGATATTAGTCATGCTTCTTGTTATCGAATACACAAACAAGCGAATGCCAAACGTCAGACAACGAGCAGCGAGTATGACCAGCAGTTTATGGTTACTGGCGCCGTTATACCAAAAATCACACTTAAAGGGTGCACAGTCACATATAAAATCAAATAAATAAATACTTAAAAAAAAACAACATGCGAAAAACACACTTATGAATTACTGCAAAAATGGGCGCACACATGGACTTTCAGAAATTAAGCCAACAAAAAAAAAAAAAACAACTTATTTGTTATCGTCGAGAGAAGCAGAAAATTTTATGAATAATTTTTGTTGGGGTTGAAATGTCGTGAAATTCGAGCAGTCACTTATACCTACAAAGGTATGTACATATATACAAGCAAATATGTGTATAATTATCGACTACATGCCGCTGAACAACAACAACAAATATTATAATTTTTTTGTGAGTATTATGTTGATTTTCGCAGTTGTGGGCCGGTTAGCGGCTTTGCTGCCTTCTATGAGTCATATTAGAGTGTGAAATGTGAGAATTTAATAGGAAATGTTGTGGGAGAGAGTAAAAGTTGCTATACCTACCTATACCTATGTCGCTGTTGTTACTTTATTTTAATAAGGTTTAAGTGTATCGAATTAAATAACTACCTTCGGAGGCGTATAAAAATTTCTTATGAGAAAAATAGAAAAATAATTAAAAAGTAATGCTCAAAGACGGGGAAAAAGTAGCGTATTCTCGACTTTGACTCCCCCAAAGAAGCGTTAAAAAATATGGAATATTGCACTAGAGTGCATAAGATACCGATTTCTTGTGTTATCGATGCCGATTAATGCCTCTCAGGGTTAGTAAACATCAGCTGGCGATTTATAGGTTATGTTCTGTGCGATAAGAAGAGCTTCACTAAACGCATTGGTGTTTTTTTATTAAAAAAATATATGTTTTACCAGAATCCAACTCTTTTTTTGATGCAAAAATATTTGTTTCTTACTTTATACATACACTTGTGTAATATATATATATGTATATATATTTTTTTTGATTATACATTAACTGGTCCAGATACATACATATCTAATGTCACACAATAATCTCTTCTTTCTATCTTCTACCTACAGATGGTTTTTCACCAGCAACAACAACAACAACAACAACAACAACAGCAACCAAAGTGAGCAAACTAACAACTAGTCAACAACACCAACAGGAAGAAGAACAACTCTACCAATACCAACAAAAGCAAGCAACGGTAAACACAGCTGAGCAAGAACAAATGAGTTTGATAATGAAAATGCCTACAGCAACTGCCGCCACAGCATCATCTCCCATAACAGCTATTACCAACGCTCCAGTAGTTTCACCAACACCGCGCGCAGCAAAACGTAATTCACCAACCAGCAGCAACAATAGTTCGCCAACAAAAGAAAAATCTGAAAGAATTCTACACGGGGGTCATTATACCGCTGCCGCTGTGCAGAGTAGAGAATATCGCTGTACAGAGAGTGGCGAAGATCACAATGATTGGCATACAGCAGTACATAGTGGTACAACAACAATAACACCACTACAACAACACAAAACTCCAATACCAAAGCAAAGATCAGCATATTCGCCGGTAAAGAATGCTGCTTCTTCTACTAGTTCGTCTTCTCTAGCTGCAACCCGTTTAGCAGGTACAACTGGGCCATCGCCAACATTGAGAGAGGAGCTACAGAGCACAGCTGGTGGAGATGGTAGTAGTGCCGCAGACAAAGGTACTATACACACGGCCACAGCTGTTGCTGTCGCTGGCAGCGGTCATGGTAATGGTGATGGCGACGTTGATGAATATATGTTGGGCGAAAAGCAGGAAAACATACAAACCAACACAACACAACACAAAACGTTCACAGCTGAGAGCAGCGGTGGTGGAATGTATACAGCTATGGGCAGGCAAATACCATCCACAACGGCTGGTTCGTCACCAAATAGGGCGAGCGCGAACGCGAGCGTGAGCGCCGTTTCGCCACTATCGCCGACACTGGTCGCTGCACAGGCGTTTCAGTCTCAGCAATCGCAACAGTTTCAAACGAAGCACGAACGCGAACGGACGTACACGGAACAACGCGGTGCGTCAACGTCGTCGTCGGCCGGGAACAATAGTAAAGTGAATACACCAATAACCAAAGTGCAAACCCAAGAAAATAACACAGTATCTGGTAGTGGCAGTAGTAGTCGCAGCAGCAGCAGCAGTGGTGGTGGTTCGCCCGGCAGTAATAATAAATTGTATAACGCTTCGCCATCGAATTACGCGATCCCATCGTTGAGCAGCTCAAATAGTGCTGCTGGCAGTGGTAGTGGAAAAATCTTTACAAAACTTCATAACAATCAATTTATAAAGAATCAACAGCTGCAACAGACCGGCGCACAATCGAGCAGCGCAACACAATCGAATATTACGGCACGTTATTTGAAATACAAGTCGCATTCAACGCATGCGCAAGAATCCGCAGGCGGCAGTGAAACTGGTTCGGCAGGTACCAACACAAGCAGCAGCAGCAACTACACCGGTTTGCCGGGCACATACTCGCCAACGAAAAGTTTTGTGGCACCCACCGCTAGTGCAATCAAAAAGAAAATGGTTGCCGTGCAGGAGATGAAAAAGACTACACAGCCAAGTGGCAATCACGGCCAATTGCATCCGCATCGCACGCATCACAATCAACAACAGATGATCGGTGCTGGTGGCGGTGGTGGCGGCACATGCGCACGTTCACCAGCGTTGACCGGGGGAGGCGGTCGCGCCAATACAAACAACCAAACGGAGGAAGTGAACTTCGATCCTGCCGAAGATCTAAGCTATGGCCCGGGCATTGTTTCTAAGTTACGTTGTCGCTACTTGAGTCTGGCTTTCCGCGAATCCATGGAGAAAGAGCGTCACTGTTTGGATAATATGCGTCGTGCTACAAGCCTCAATAATTTACTGGATCGTGAGGAACCACAAGATGATGATGATGAGCCTGATGATGATATCGACAGTGGTGAAGCCAACGATGTGGGCATACAGGAAGACGAAGATTATGTGGAGTTACGCGCTGATGCTGACAGAACATCAAATTCTGAACGCAAGCTAAAAACTCAAGGTGGCATATTGAAGCACAGCGGCGACGGCACTACGCAGGACAACACGAAAAAGACGACAACATTTCAAAAGCATTCGAATGTTTTTGGTGCGAACGGTACACGCTTGCCAAACTCCGCGCCTGCTGGCACCACGGGTGGCGCGGTATCCCCGGCCAACGTCGCGACGCCCGATACACCGCGTTCGCGTCATGTAAAGCGCGGTAATGATTCGTTAAAACGCGCGCGTTCCGTCGAAGCGCTGCTCTGTGAACGTTCGCCCTGGCAGTATGCGGCACTCAATCGTACCAGCTATCAGCCGCAGCGTCAAAACTACGCGCCAACGCAACCCACTTGCGTAACCATTGAGGATAAAATAAATAACGCACGCAGCCGTCTAATACTCGGCACCGATATAATGCCACCAAAACGTCTAACCTCAGTGATCGATGATACCGAAAGACCACCACCCGATTTGGTAAAGCAGACACTAAAGAAGTTCGAAGCTACGGCCAATCGTCGAGGTCGCGGACCAAATCGCGCCAATGGCACAGGTGAGGTGGCCAACAAAGTGGCTACCTACAAGACAATCATCAAAGAGAATAAGCCTGCAATTGTATTTCCAAAACCACCGCTCAGCCCCACCAAGAAACTCAATACGCCAATATTAACCAAACCGGTAGCTAAACCGGTGGTGGGTGCTACCGATTTGCTCAACAGTCCGTTAGGGCGCAAAACCACAGCTGCAGCAGCTGCGCAAACGAATGTCAACAACGCTGCGACTGGGCCTGGAAAGCCACAAGCCACGACAGTGACGACGTCGACCTCAAATGTCGCTGCGGTTGCGGCAGTGCTGTCAAGCGGCTTATCAGAGAGCTCGCCCGATATCATTCCAAGGCATAAGCTTTTAACGGAAAAGAGCGAATCGCTCATGCATGGGGTTGTCGATTCGCCAGTATCAGCTTTAACGAAAAAGCTCGAAAAGCTGCGAATCGACTCGGCGGATAAACTACAAACAAAGGAGACAAAACAGCCAACACAGTTGAATAAGCAGCAAACGATAAACTCGGCACTCGAAGCAACTAACAACAGCGACAACGAATTCGTCAATATTGGCGAGTTAAACAACGAAAACAATACTAGCAATAGCAGCAAGTTCGTGGGTGGTGTTGACGAGGGTGAAGCGGCTGGCGATAATGACGCAGCCCTCGAAGGCAACGAAAATAGCAATAACAAAATAACAACAAAAGCAGTACTCGCAACGAAACAGCATAATGATCGTGCTGGCACTAGCGCTAGCATTTCGAGTAGCGAGTCAGTCGTAGAACCCGATACGGCACAACAAGCAGGAACCGCAGCAATTAGTAGTGATCTTAGCGACGACGACGACGGACTGGTTGATATTGCCGCCGCCGCACCCACAAAACGTATAACGCGTACAGCACTCGATAATATTGCACGCGCGGGCACCACACAACAATTTAAATTCGCTGCCAGTGGACAAACCAATGTCGGCAACAACGTGAACAACAAAAAATTAGAGCAAAAGACGAAACCGCAAACAAACATAAATACCGATATACCCACATCGGTATTTAACGCTGCGCCAGGCAAACAAATCGGGGTCATACGCCCGCTACTAACCACCACAGCTGCACAACAACAGGGGAACACAACCAACAACAGTCTATCCAATCAACAACAATTGTTGCAACAACATTTGGAGGCGCTCAAACAAAATAATCTTTACAATAATACAACATCAACGCCTATAGCCGCCGCGGGTGCCACAACACACTCCACAATTTACCACAACACATCGCCGCTGACAAGCCGCGAAATCGAAAAGAATCGTATAAATGAGATGAAGAAGGCGGATGGTAGCCCAATAGTAGCCGCCACAATGGTCAATACAGGAAGCGTAAATGCCACTTCACACGCCGTCGCAGCCGCTGCTGCAAATGCTAGTCTAAATACCGTGATAAATACCAATGCACCCGGTCATAAGGGCAATGGCGTTGGCGCCACAACATCATCATCAACTTCAACAGCATCGCCAATAGTTGGCACTTCCGGTTTAAATGAGCTCGATGCGGCAGCGCAAGGCGCTAATAATAGCCCGCTGTGGGCGTTACGCATTAAACGACAGGCACCACCAAGTGTGGCACAGGAGAATACATCGATGGTATTCAACTTCTCCAATCGCAAAGAGGTGCCCGATTATATTGAGAATGATGGTGTGATCTTTCGCAGAAAACGTGAATTACCCAAGGTGAGTAAAGATGAAGTGTAATGACTCGCTGGTGAACGTGTAAAAACCAGAAAGCTGTACATATACAAGGCAGAAAAAGTGGAAGAGGTAGAAAATATGAGTGTACAAAAAGATCTTGTGTTGGTAGAGATATTAAAAAAAAAAACAAAAGAAAAAGCGAAATAAAAGAAAATGAAAAAATAGCAGTTCTAGTGGTAGCAAGTAAGCCAAGTCCAAGTAAATGGCAAATAAGAAATAAGTGACGACGTGTAATGTGGAAAAAAATGAGCGAAGACAGCAAAAGATACGGTGTGTAAGTGAGCATGTGTATGTGTGTGTGTGTGTATTTGTGTGAAAGCCATAAGATACGAAGAAAAAATATATAAAATCATACAAAATGATGTACAATACTCGTATGTACATATGTGTATGCGCTAGATATATATGTATATATATATATGAAATAAAAATAGCAACAGCAGTAAAAAAGTTATAACTGCAACAACAACAACAACAACAATCACAATGTAGTCTGTTGCAACAGAACGTGCATAAAAGCGAAAGAGTGAAGTGAATACACCATAATAAAGTGCAGTTTTGCGGCTGAAGAAAGACACAAACGTACACAGAAAATATTAAATGAATAAATTTATGCATGCCTTTGTGCTTTTATACATATATCCATGTATCTTTATCTGTACATATTGTATGTATATATGTGCGACTTAACCCATACTTGCTTGTGCATACGTCGACTACTTGATGTGCTTGATGTGAATTCGAAGGTAGACTGAAGGAAATATAATGAGCAATATATTAAATCGCATAAAGAAAGAGTGTAAATAATTAATAATCAAAAGTTTCAAAAGATATTTAAAGAAATTTAATTTCTTAAAAAGATTACAAATTATTTCGTTATTTTCTACCTCTTCTGCTAGTTTTCTACTCTTCCAAAATGGGAAAAAAATTAAATAAAATAAATAAAAAGTTCAAAATAACCAGCTTTATGCATAACTTTTTATATATCAAATGAGCTGAAATAAACTACGCCAACAGCTTACTAAACAACTAAAGACATCAATTTTTATAATTTAAAATTTTTATTATGGGTCATTCAAACGTTTTTTTTTTATTACATTTCTCATGTTAAAATTTAACTGTTATGGTATTCAGTTCGTCAGAAAGTAGCATTTAATTCCTTTCACTCGGCGAATGTCGGCTTTTAAAATGCAAATTAGTGATTTTCGAGAAAATATTAATTTTTTAGGTTATAATTATGCGCTAAAAGTGACGCTTTATTGTCTAAATTCTACTTCTTAAGATGAATGTTCATAATTTTTTATGATTTCTTCTACAAATTCTTTAAAATTTACATTATTATTATTTTTTTTACAAGCTCATAAGTTCATGTATTAACTCCTAAATGTATGCTTGTCTTATAACGAAAACGTTATCTCCTTATTTATTGTGAATTAAAATGTTAGCCATGAATGATCTATTTTTCCGTGCATTAAATGCGTTCTTGAAATTAATTATATTCACTTTGATCAATCTGAAATATTCAAGCTAACAATTCTTTGAAGCAAATTATCTGTCAATCATTAAATCAAAGTGAATTTTTCTGAACAACAAAATTTTTAAGATTTTTTCAACAAATTTCTTAAAATATATATTAATTTTTATTAATTTCAAAATTTTTGATTATTTAATGTAATACTCATCATTAATGCCTTAATTAACTTTAAATGCATGCTAATCTTATAATAAAAATATGCATAATCTCTATGTTTATTATGAACTATAAGATTTGCTATGATTGATCGATATTCTTCTCAAACAATTGCACTCAAAATTTTTTTTTTATTTAATTATTAACCCTATCAGTGTATATTTATTGCTTTAAATATTCAAAACTTTCAACAAAAAACAACTTTCTTCATATTTTTCGTGTATTCTGACACAAAATAATAATTTTCTATTTTTCTATTTTTCCTCTCGTTGGTTTTTGTCATATTTTATACTCGTAGCTCACATTGGTTCCTTATTTCTAAGTAATAATTCCATTCATTGTTATTTTTTCATACAATACAATTCTCGTTTTTCTAGGACTTAAATAAATGAATCTATTAATCAAGCTGTCAAAAGAATAACCAAATTTAAAGTTGATTGACATCATAAATTCTGCTCACGAGTTTTTAAAACACAGCAGGTTTTGTGTTGCTGATTGTTAAAAAAAAATATTAAATATTGAGTAAACTGTGCATGAATTCGCCGCATTGTCGATCGTAGAAGATGTGTTTTCATATGAAAATTCGTCGCTAATAATTCTGATCTCTTGCTCAATCTTGTCAGATTTTTCGATTAACCATTAACTATTAAATATACAAATTAATCAGAAAAACTAAAAATTTTTGCTTTAATTATGCTTAAATTTTTCCTAAGACTATTTTTTTAGTCGTTCTTAAATTTACGGATTTACTTTCAGACTTCCTTATAATAATTTGAAAAAGCATTTCTTAGCCATTTATCAATAATTGGCTATATATTTTACGACTTGCTGCATATTTGAGAAGATTTACCACTCTTCGGCAGCTTTGCGACAGATTGAGAAACACTTTTTCTAGTGCTGATAGTTTATTTATGCTTTAAATTCGCTTTTTATCATTTTTTTCGTTGATAATTTCATAATCTAGCTACTAACATTTCTAATTGTTCACGCATATGTATATTTCTTTTTAATAATCTTAAACTTTATCTTTTATTATCTTCAATCAATCTTGACTCACCTTCTTTTTATATGTACTATGTATATTGACATACTGTTTATTATTTGTCAACTCGCTGTCGTCGTGAGTCATACGTTTTTTCGCAATAATTTTTTGTTTTTACCTGAGTTCACACAAGGGTTAACCCTCGTGTGCGCTGTTATCTTAGCTGTCAATAAGCCTTCAAATGCAGCCAATATGCAGCAGCAATAAAAACTTCTTTTACTAAACTCGTAACTTGTCGGAGTTAATTTGGTTTGATTCTTTGCTTGCTTGCCAGCCATCGCAGCTTTGTAGCAGCACAAGTATAAAAGTAATAATATCATGTGAATGTGCTTAAACGGCATTTTTTTTTTCGATATGCTAGCCTAGCAGGGAGACCGACCGATACGACAACAATGCATTTTGTACGCGTATCTTGTTTACCTTGAACGGAAGGAAAATGTTCGGCAACATTCAATGCATACGTATTCGTGTAGACACTTGAGGTGCGTGCGTGCATTCGTACGTGTGTTCGTGTTTGATGTGCACGGTTTACGGGATTCATGTATATGTGTAATACATATTTATTTATTTTATTTTATATTATTTCCTTATATGCCATATTTGTATGAACGCACTTATTTGTTTGCGTGCACATACATATTTATATATACATGTATGGAGGTATGTGCTATAGACAAAGAAACGCAAACATATCAAGTGTGTTTCTTCCTGTTTTCTGTTAGGCAGTTTCCAATGACCAGCATATTTACCTATTTACTTACATGTAATGAGTAAACCAATCAAACTGAAATGCCACACAGATATACTACTTATGTACATGTCGGTTGATAATCTAGAAATATGTTCATATGTATGTACATATGTATATGCATTCATGATATTTACATACAAACAAAAAAAGTTTTGTTTGCACTAAAATTTGCATACCAAAAAATATTACTGCCTTTCTTTTTAGATTGTTTTTTGACTTATTATTATTATTATATAGTGAAAAATGTATGTATGTTATGCCACTTATCAGTGCTTATTTATAATATTTCTACCAACAACAATAACGCTGCCTTGTTGCTCTTATCTCTACCATGATTTCGTAAATTAGTTATAAGCGTACTGCAAACAAAGCAATGTTTGTTGCAAATTCCTGCCGGCTTAGTGGATGTCTACAAATAAATATATTGTACATACACACATATGTACATATGCTACATACAAATATGCATTTACATATTTAATTGTTTTTATTTAGTTCTATACTTTTTTCTTGTGCGCGTATCTTTCTCTATTAAGGATTTTGCGCTTAATACGTAGATAAATTGCACGCGTGGTCACCCCAATAATTTATTTGAGTGTAAAAAAATATTCGAATAGTTTTTTCTCTAAGAAGAGTGCGAGTCAAAAATAATGTTTTTAACTTATTTAGTGAGAAAAAAGTTTATGATTAGTTAATTAGCTTTTAATTAGACATTTGCATATTGTCTTATCATCAAATTTGTGGCCTCTGTTCGGTTGAAAGATTATTCTACACTTTTCAAAACATTCTTGAGTGACTAAACTATTTTTCATTTTTTTGCCTGGAACTTTATGCCTTTATGGGTTGAGTCATTTCGCTTGCTAATTGTTTTGTGGCATTTTATTATACAGTGTTTATTGTCGTGCTAAGAGCTAAGCTATTTTTATATATAATACATAATTTCACTTTCGAAAAAAATGCTGTGTTTTTATATTAATTTTTTAGCTTAATTTATCTGCTATCAGAATCGATTTTTTTTTTATTAAGCAATGCAGTCGCACATTTTGTTGGCGAATGGTCAGTCTTGGCAAATCGATTAAACGTTCTTCAATGTAATGAATTCCTAACAGATCTTGGAGTAAAAAAGTTGAAAAAATTGATTTCATTCCACAGCTGTCAGTTTTTGATCGAAAAATTTCTGTATCAAATCTTATGTTTTTTTACTCCTATTATTTTTTTCATTCAGGCGTTTAAAAACATTATAGTTACTGTTTTGCTTTCCAAAACATTTGTTTCCATTCACTTCTATTGATCCCCCATTCCATGCTTGAACATTATAAATGTGTATACTTTATTTTAATTAATCTTCTTTTATATTCTCTGATCTTTATACAAACCATCTGCTATTCGCATTTATTTATTAATTAAAATTGCTATCGTCGTTTTGGCGCCAGTGGTCAGTGATCTTAATTGAATGCTATTGCTTTATTGAAAATTGCAAAACGAAAAACATTTGTTGA